CTAATAAAAAATTCCTGGATCCGCCTCTGCCACCGATTTTGTCTCGCCTGCTCATTATGTTGTCTCACATTCTAAAGTTAACGCTCACCGGGGAGGTCTTGGATCTCGTTCCCTTTCTGGAAACTTCACCGAATCTGGTTTTAGCAGGACTTGTACCACATTCTTTGTGTAGGCATCGACGGAACTTGGTTTGATTCCTTTTTCTCTTCTGGCTGCCACCCATTTCAGTGTTTTCTCCACCAACTTCATTCTGGCTGCCCTTGTTACCTCGGGTGGAGCAAAAGTCATTTGAACATCAAGGCAAGTAAGCTCAGCTTCTATTATGGCCGTGACCTGAAAATAAAGCAAGTTTCAAAGAAAAGTAGAGAAAACAACAAATTCAAATCTTCATTTTATAAAAAGCTTGAAAATAATTTCAACCAAAAGCTGATTATTCTGCGAAAACTATGTGTGGATGGAGATTGCCTGCTTTTATGGCCAATTTTTTTTCAATTACAAGTCTTAGTATACTTTGTTATATATGGAATGTATATGTCAACTGATAGATAAGCACAGTACAAATATAAGGACACAAGCACGTTACATGCAACGTACAAAGATAATTTAAATGAAGAATGAAAACACTCGATTTGTTAAGAAAAACAGCAAAAACGAAGTCAAGATAGCAAACTGCAATGAATAAATTGAATGTAATCACTGTGAAAAACTAAAAACAAAACTAAGAATGGTGTTCCTAGCATGACGCCCAAGCGAAGTTTTCTGACCAACTCACATCATGTTTGGGTTTATTGGTTCCCTTTGGGATAATCTGCTCCAACAATCCCGAGAAACCTGCCGACACATTGTGACCTTCATGTTTCTCCAATTCCTCAATCATGCCGATGGTGTGTTCATAACCATCATACAGCATCTGTTCGCTTGCTGAGGATCAGGGGAAAAATAATGCAACCAAATAGTTCTGTTTGAAAACCGCCTTACGAAAAATCAACGCTGGAGCGACCCCTTCAGAGGTATTGGGGACCTTAAGAAACCACGACTGCAACGGCAACGAGGACGTTGGAAAACAAGAGATCTAATTGGCAAAACAATAGCTCAGCACGTGCGTTTTGAAACTTTGTACATTTCTTAGCCGTCCTATGCAAAACAACAACGTGAAATCGTCAACATTTGCGTCGTCTGCGAACCGAAACCGCGACGGCAAATTATTTTAATTTCCATTTGGAACTCAATGGCTACTTTATACGTCATACTGAAGTTGAGCTGTGGCGCCGTATGAGACAGTAAGCTCCTGCAGCCATTTTTGAAATTCTAACTAAGCGTAGAAATTCATTTTTTAATCGAAGTCTTCCTTGACGTCACCGTCGGGGTTTCTTAAGGCCCCTATTTTAAGAATAAGAGACTCCCGTATTGGTGTATCACGTGACATAGACAAGTACTGAAGGAGGCCTAATAAGTCGAAAAATTCTTTCCATGGCTGAGGGTCTGTTACAGCTGACTTATTCTATTATAACCTAAAACATTTTGCTTCATCCCATGTTACAACTTAATCATGTTGGATTTCGTATTTCTTTTTCTTGTTTTTGATGAAGCAGAACTATTGTCATTTTTTGACTGACTGGCCTTACTGCCTTTTCTGCGACTGCAACGTACCCTCTATTCCTCAATTACTTTCTTGTTACAAGCACAGTTCACCCATACCTTTAAGTAATAAAAGACAGTAATTATAAGCGAAATTTTCCATTTTTCATAATGTAGCTTTGAGAAAATTGGACATTTGACGTGCAACAAATACGTGGAAGTTAAAGGCAGTATGAAAAAGGTGTTCTTTGGTGCAAACCAACTTCGGGAAATCAAATTGATCGAGTATCGGTAACTTACCTTGCAACGAGCGTTGCTTCTGAATCTGCTCCTGAGTCTGCATTTCTTCATTATACATTTCATAATCGCTATTTGTCGGAGAATCAACTCTACATTGATTGCGGTTTCCTGCGGTGTTATCGCTCTGCTTACGCCTCTCCGGAGAACCTCTGAGTTGATCGGGACGTTCCTCAACATTGCTACCGGGGTTATCTCCCCGAAGACACTGTACTTGGGGTTGTCCTACGGTATTGCAAAGGAACATTGGTAAAATATTGAAGGGAATAAGGGAACATAAGCCTATTTTTTAGGGAACAGGGGAACAAAACTGTACAAATTAGAGGAGAAAATATTGTGAAATAAGAAACAAAGACCGCAAGGAAGAGGGAAAATTTGGACGAGTTTATGTATTAGGATGATTGACCAGGAGAATTAAGGTTAGTTCTACAGCTCACCCCACTCTGATGGATTGGAATTTCACTCAGTTGTTCGAGATGATGTCACACAAATTAAGGGAATAAGGACCCCCCCTGGGAGACTCTCATCTTTAATTTCAATTTCAGATAGCTTTCTTTAGTCTCCCTTGCAGCCTTATGCGGCGTCGTCACGCAAGCGAAAACTCCCCCACCACCAGCTGGTGGGGGAGTTTTCGCTTGCGTGACGACGCCGGAAAGGGCTGCAAGGTAAACTAACCCCTCAGTCACACTCGCGCGTGAAATCACTTTGAAGCATGCTTGCTGTTGACGTTAGACAAGCAAACCCAAGCACGTGCTAGAGATTAGAGCAAGCGGGATCTGGTCACATTGAAAGAACAACAGCCTGCTTATTTTTGTCGCGGTTCGATATGGACCAATTCTCAATGCTCTTGTTTTTGTTTACCTTTCTTCGCACTTTCCGCGAACGCAAGGGAAGAAAAAAGGCTTTAAGACGAAGAATCAAGACGCCAACACTTGTTCTTTTGGAACACCAGGTTGGCACATGGTATTTTTTTCAAACAGTTTTTTGTTAATGGTGACCATTTTCAACGTTCTTCTTGAACGCTATCAAGAGCGACCTTGGGCTCTCCCTCGACCACAATTTGGCATATTCTTGGCAAAATTCTTGACATTCAACACAGAACTTGCTTAAGCGCCAAAAAATCTGGGAAAGATCAAGATGTCAAACAATGCTTCACCTGATTGGTCAATTGTTTATCTAGCTCAGCTCAAAAAACTCCGTCGTGCTCTTGGGTTAAGCTGCGGTTCTTCTGAAGTTTAAGCAGCTCTGCCATCTTTCTTAAGCAAGCAAGCAAACATTGCCAAGTTTGGTCGGTCACATTTATGACCAGCTAGCAATTTGCTAGATAAACAAAAATTGACCAAGCAAGCATGATCCCAACGCAAGTGTGACCGAGGGGTAAGCTTTCTTACTTGAAGTTCGTTTTCTTTGTCGTCGTCGATCAAGCTTTTAGTTGTGCGTGCCATCGGCGTTGTGGGATCGACAAGTAAGTTTTTAGTATTCTGCTTCGGTTTTCGTACAGCTTACCTTACACCTTCCTAGCCATTGTTTACTAATGTTTTGTGCACGTTATTTAGCGATGTTCGGTCGCCCTCATGGTCGCGTGGAAATTTTCCATGAAATCTAAGACTAGGTTTACACTAGAGGAGAGTTTTCCGGATTCGTAAATGTTTCCGGATTCATCAATTTTGGAGTATTCGGATTCGTAGGCGTTTACACTGAAAGGATATTCGGATTCCTGACCGTTTACACACAACGACAACTCCGGGAACATTCTAAATGGAATGGTTACCAAGCCCAGTGTTGTTTTATCGTTCGATCGACAAAGTGAAAATGCCTCCCCCAAAAAAGGCTAGAGTAGATCCAGATGCCACTGAGGCAAATTTGAGTTGGACAGATGCCAAGCCATCTACGTCGTCGGCGATTAAGTGTGGCTGACGTTAAACTTCCTTGCAATAATAATTTGCGTTTCCTCAGAAATACTGCGGTACACATGATAAAATTTATCGCCTGAACCTGCAACAAGATTAGGCAACCGGAGACCGCCAGCAATGTTAGCACCAGATCCTCCATTTTGGTTTCACCGCAAACTCAAAAGATTGCAGGCGGAAATAATATCCGGATTCGAGAAAAAAAGCGGTTACACGACAAAACTTTCCGGATTCAAAAGTTATCGGATTCAAAGTTCCCACTTTAAATTCCGGATTCAAAATCTCCGGAGACACGACCAAACCGGGGAGTTTTTATTTCGGATTCGTCCACTTTCGTGTAAACGGCAAAATCAATCCGGTACTAAAACGTTTCGGATTCATCACGAATCCGGAACAATTTCCTCTAGTGTAAACCTAGTCT